GTGGTTGTTGTAGTGTCTCTATACTACCTAGATAGTGGATACATCAGACAAATATGCGACAGTTAGTTGTCTTTATTCCGAGACGTTTCTCCTACTCAACAGACTTCTTCAGTCGAATGCAGAGGCAGCAGCAAAAGCAGTAGAGATGTAAAGACGGTGTAATCAGTCCATCACTCTCTAAAACTTAGTTTTGAGTTGGTCATTCGCTCATCCTGGAGAAGAGTTCTGCTCCATAGTCTGAAATAATGTGAATATCAGGCAACTGAAGGGGAGACTTACATAATCTCAAGGTACGGCGGAGAAATTTTTTACGTCTGTAGTCCTCTTGCTGCCTCTGTATTCGAATGAATAAGCCTACTGTGCAGGCGGAACGTTTCTGAATGAGGATACCTGTTTGATGTGTGTCTTATCAGTTTGACGGTATTGTATACCATTATAATTCACACTATAAGACACTGCAACACTAAAGTGTTGCAGAGTAATTACTAGTCAGAGTAGTTACAAGTGAGAGTAGTTAATAGTGAGAGTAGTTAATAGTGAGAAAGGTTAGATTTGAGAGGGACCTACGTAGCAGGTTTGCTACACTGCCTCTCAGTGATTACATTCTTACTGTAACTAGTGGGTCCAACCTCTTCTGTCGTCAAGATTTTCTCCGCCTCATTTTGACAATATTTATATTCTCCATACTGTTACTTTAGCTTCCCGTTGTTTCAGACTATGGAGCAGAACTCTTCTCCAGGCTGAGCGACTGACCAACTCAAAACTACGTCTTAGAGAGTGATGGACTAATTACATTGTCTTTACATCTCTACTGCTTTTGCTGCTGCCTCTGTATTCGACTGAAGAAGTCTGTTGTGTAGGAGCTCATATGTTTTACTTATCAGCTTGACTGTATTGAATTTCATTATCATTTTCACCTAGAAAGTAATTTATGTTTTGTACTTAAATCTCTCGTTTAAGGAAAAAAAAAAGTGTCCGTGTCTTTAAAAAGTTTGAAAACCCTCGGTATAGAAAAATAAATAATCAAAGACCAAGAGGCTGGGCCCAGGAGCTGGTGGGCGATTCTCAAAAACACAATCTCTCTACTTGGCCTTCTGTCACCTGGAACGCAATTCATCTCTTCATCTCTGGTTATTGTAATAAAGTTGGTAGAATTACCGACAATATGTAAAGTAAAAGGACACAAGTGCAACTAATGTGACATTTATTGTGGCAACGTTTCGCTCTCCAGGAGCTTTATCAAGCCATTACTTGATAAAGCTCCTGGAGAGCGAAACGTTGCCACAATAAATGTCACATTAGTTGCACTTGTGTCTTTTTACTTTACATCTCTGGTTATTATTATTATATTTATGGGGAAGCGCTAAACCCGTAGGATTATACAGCATATGTGGAGGGGGAGGGGAATGGAAGGTATTCAGGCTCAGATAATGAACTTGAGCACAGATCTAATTCCCCAGATCAAGAGCCTCTCACCAGCGTCAAGGAACCTCCCTAGAGGCGTCTTCATCTCTGAACTCTGCAGGAGAATCTACATCCCAGACTCAACGTGGCGTCAATAAAGATATCTAATACTGAATATACATTTTACTTATCAGTAAATTAGGCGAGTTCACACACAGGGGATAAATAACATTACCCATGTGCTGTTAACTTTATTAAGAACAGGATACACAAATAACCCGCACATAAAAGAGAGAAGCTTACGACGACGTTTCTTTCCGACTTGGACCATTTACAAAGTCATTTACAAAGTTAGTGTGACTTTGTAAATGGTCAAAGTCGGACCGAAACGTCGCCGTAAGCTTCTCTCTTTTATGTGCGGGTTATTTGTGTATCGTTCCAGTCACGGTATTGTACCTTTTTTTTTTTGTTATTTAAGAACAGAGTTTATGTTCATGCTGAGTGTGTCACTCCAGCGTCCAACACAGGACTATGTTAACCATATATAATAATAATAATAATAATAATAATAATAATAATAATAATAGTAATAATAATAAATCTTTATTTCTACAAGTACATGATACAATTGTGTATAAGTCACATACACAGGAAAAAGTATACATACGAACATACGTAGTATACAGATATGCTGATATTCATTAATAACTATCATTAAAAGGAAATAAAAGACGAATATTTAAAAAAATAATTATTAGAGTTAAAATTTCAATAAAGAAGCCATTATTAACCTATTAATAACATTTCATTATAGAAGGTTATATATTTTTTTCTTAAGCTTACGTTATTAGCTTTTATTAATGAGAAAATACAGATCTTTTATTGAAACACTATAAACATTTTGTGCTGATCGCAGTGTTTATAAATATTAATAATGTTTAGGAGTAGTAAAATAGATTCTGTGCTGGTAAGATTTTTTTTTTATCTTATTTCGGCAATTTTATTGCATCCGAGCCTGAGCTGTTGTTGTTTTTCTTGTTTTGTTTGTTTGTTGCTGTTTGCTTCAGATGCTGTTGATTGTCTCCTACGATACTGCTTTGCTGCTACGAGTTGTTGTAGTTGTAGTTGTAGTTTTATTACCGTCCTCCTGCTATTGTTGATGTACTTGTGGTAATTTCAGTTGACGAGGTGTCAGTCGTTGTAGTGTCAGTTGTTGAAGAAGTGTCAGTCATTGTAGTGTCAGCCGTTGACGAAGTGTCAGTTGTTGAAGAAGTGTCGGCCGTTGTAGTGTCAGTTGTTGAAGAAGTGTCAGCCGTTGTAGTGTCAGTTGTTGAAGAAGTGTCAGCCGTTGTAGTGTCAGTTGTTGAAGAAGTGTCAGCCGTTGTAGTGTCAGTCGTTGACGAAGTGTCAGCCGTTGTAGTGTCAGTTGTTGAAGAAGTGTCAGCCGTTGTAGTGTCAGTTGTTGAAGAAGTGTCAGCCGTTGTAGTGTCAGTCATTGACGAAGTGTCAGCCGTTGTAGTTCCAGCCGTTGACGAAGTGTCAGCCGTTGTAGTGTCAGTTGTTGACGAAGTGTCAGCCGTTGTAGTTCCAGCCGTTGACGAAGTGTCAGCCGTTGTAGTTTCCAGCCGTTGACGAAGTGTCAGCCGTTGTAGTTCCAGCCGTTGACGAAGTGTCAGCCGTTGTAGTTCCAGCCGTTGACGAAGTGTCAGCCGTTGTAGTTCCAGCCGTTGACGAAGTGTCAGCCGTTGTAGTGCCAACCGTTGATGAAATATCAGCTGATGACGTAGTACCGGATAGTGTTGTTGTTGCAGTGCCAGTCAAGGTTGTTGAAGATGTAGTTGCTGTGTTTGCAGTAGTAGTAGTAGTAGTAGTAGTAGTAGTAGTAGTAGTAGTAGCAGTAGTAGTAGTAGTAGCAGTAGTAGTAGTTGTTGTTGTTGTTGTTGATATTGTTGTTGTTGTTGTTGTTGTTGTTGTTGTTGTTGTTGTTGTTGTTGCTGTTGTTGTGGGAAAATCTGGCAGCGGTGATGCAGACGTAGGGGGTATTGGGATGGTGGGTGTCGTGACTGTATCCCCCCTTGCTCGACGATCATCTGCTGCACAGTTCTGATATAACTCCTAATATTCGTGATTACCATAGTGGCAGAGCTTATGGAACTAACAACGCTGTTGAGAGATGATATCACTTCAGACTGCAGGAGCGAATCGGGTATCAATGTCTTACTGAGAATCGCTGTTGTAATTAGATTAACTGTCGTTGCCGCTGTGTAGAGCTTGATAATAAGGCTGTCTAGAGCCGCATAGTTTCCTTGTGTTATCGCTGTCTGTATGTCTGTGGCGAGCTGTGTAACTGTCATTATCTCTTGTCCCGCATCGCGTTTTCTTCTTCCATTAATTGAGGCGTTTATTGTATTTATAAGAGTGTTAAGTAAACCTTGAAGGTTTTGCAGAGCTGTAAGCGCAGTGTTTGTTGAATTTAATGCGGAGAGCAGTGTGTTGAGCTGTGCTGTGAGATTGGCTAGTGTTGCGTTGGTGGTAGTAGTAGTAGTAGTAGTTGAAGTGGATGTGGAGGTCGTAGTGGAAGTCGTAGAGGATGTGGTGGTGGTGGATGTTGTGGAAGTTGAGGTTGTTGTAGTTGTAGGAGTGGTGGTAGTTGTGGTGGTTGTTAGGGTGGTAGTAGTAGAGGTTGTAGTGGTGGATGTTGTGGTTGTTGGGGTGGTAGTAGTAGAGGTTGTAGTGGTGGATGTTGTGGTTGTTGGGGTGGTAGTTGTAGAGGTTGTAGTGGTGGTTGTTGGGGTAGTAGTAGTGGTAGATGTTGTGGTTGTCGGGGTAGTAGTAGATGTTGTGGAGATGGATGTTGAGGTTGTTGTGGTAGCAGTAGTAGCAGTTGTTGTGGTGGTGAATGTTGTGGTTGTAGGCGTAGAGGTAGTTGTAGAAGTGGATGTGAGTGTTGTATTGGTGGTTGTAGGCGTAGAGGTAGTTGTAGAAGTGGATGTGAGTGTTGTATTGGTGGTTGTAGAGGTTGTAGTGTTCGATGTTGAGGTTGTAGTGGCAGTTGTGTTGGTGGCTGAAGATGTAGCAGTACTTGTAGTGGTTGTTGCATTAACAGTAGACACCGTGGTTGTTACACTGGAACTAGGCGCTGGGGTTGTCACATTAACATTAAACGAGGTGGTTGTCACTACAAATGCTGTGGTTGTCGTGGTTGGTAGTATGTTAGTCAGGGTTATCACTGAGCTGCTTGTCGTCCTGCTTGTGGTCGATTCTGGAAGTGAGCCATGTTAAATTTATTAATTTCGTATATTTACATATATACCTATGTCGGTCTATCCATTAATGAATATCGTCTCCGACAAGTAAGCTTACATACCAGCAACTGTTTAGAAAGAACGCTTACCCTTAGGAGCCAGGATTTTTATTTACGTTACGAAGAACGTAACCATACCACGGGGGGGATTTGAACCCGCGGTCAGAGAGTCTCAAAACTCGGGTTCAAATCCCGCCCGTGGTATGGTTTGTTTGCAATCGTGTCATTACGATTTCATGAGTCAAGAGCGTAACACCAGCATACTGTTTCGAAAAAACATTTAGAATCTTACTTGGATAACAACAGAGGCATTTCGCTCCCCTGCAGCCATCTTTGTCGACATGCCCATGACAAGATGACTTCTTCTCCACACAATAACCTCCGTGAGCCGTACACTCTTGTGTGGGCTTGCAAGCCTTGGCACAACAAATACATTTCTTCTTCATGCAACCCTTAGAGATCTGTCGCTCTTTAGCGTCACACTTCTTCTTACACACACCCTTGTATTTCTCGCATTTCTTTTTGGGTTTAAATGCGCATGCTGTTGACAAATGTATAACGATAAACCATTAACATATACCAACATTACATAAAGATTTATTAAGTAAACACATCCTCATGTTTGCAGGAACTAGTGGAATACAAGACTCATCAATTATTTCAAAATCTAAACATTGAATAGTCTACTAATTAATCATTAAAATACAAGACCTCAGATATAATCTCAGAACATTGAAAAAAGTAAAGTTTCTGGGGACACAAAACGAGAAACATTACACAGTTGCTAGAGATTTCAATGAGACTGAATTAAGATTTGGAGGCACATAAAATACACCTAGAAATAACAATATTTTTCGCCCAAATTTAAAAAAAAGAAGCAGTTTACAAGTTGGTATTAACCACTTAAAGAATGAGAAAAAAAAATCGGACTCAGTACCATAAAATATGAAAAATTATAAATTATTTTTTCTTCGGGTGAGGAGGAAAACTCTGAAAAGAATTTTTAATGGATCTAGCAACTAAGGCAGACAGAATAAAAAAATTTTCACGACCAAATCCCAAGAAAAATGACAAATAAACATTTTAATACCAGTTAAAGTCGATATTAAGCAGACAATCTTAAGGACAATCCACTTAACATTAACAAGCGCCGAAAGACAAACCCAAAATAAAATTTTGACGTGTATATTGTTTAATAAGGGAAAGAAAAAAAAAACATTCATAGAGATATTACGTTCTCTTCACTCCAAAATTAAATTTAATAAACGAAATGAAAGGAATAACAGTACTCAGAGGCACACGAAAGATAACACACGAAAGTACTTACGTGAGAGGCAGCACTCGCACGACCTTCCTTTGCACTTGTTCGCGGCTACTTTAGTTTTACAAGTGTTTTTCGCCTGGCACTTTCCACCAGCTTTAGTGCACTTTTTGGTAGTTTTACACTTTTTCTTGGAGTAGTAATCATCTCCGCCGCCGCCGCCTGAGTGATGTCCTCCTTGTTCACCACTTTTTCTTCTTTTTTTGCTGTGTCACCTTTTTTACTGCCTCTTTAGATCCTTCCTGATCCAACTTTGCTTTACTTCGGTTTTTATTTTCGTTTCGTCCTTCCTTGCTGCCTCTGAGTTTCTTTTTACTTGCATTGGCACTATCTTTTTTCTTTATTTTTTTCTTTGGTTGCTTTCTACTCTTTCTAATGTTATTATCTCTATGTTTTTTAAGAGTTTTGCTGTCGTTTTTGAGTCTCTTTCCATGTTGTCTCAGTTTATTCCTTTTAATATCCTTCTCTTTCTTTTGTTTTTTTCCTTTTTTCTCTTTTCCCGCTGTTGACTTTTTTTTATTTTCGGTTGAATTCACTGTCTTTGATTTGCTTATTTTAACCCTTTTGTGTTTACCTTCCTTCAACTTTTTCTTCTTTGACTGCTTTAATTTCTTCTGCCATTCCTTATATTGTTTTTTCCGGACATTGTTCTTCCTCTCAGCTGTGACCTTATTTACCTTGGAGCCATTCTTGGTGTTACTGCCTATTCCCACTTTCTTGGAGCTATGATCCTTCTGCTTTTTCTTTTTTCCTTCATGTTTACTGTCTTGGAGTTTACTTTTCTTCTTGACTCGGCGTCTTTCCACATTTTTGATGGCATGATTTTTTTTACCTTTTCGCCACGACGTTTACCCCATTTCTTAGCACGCCCTTTTTCTTTCTTTCCTCTTACAGAGACAGCTTTTCTGTTAACGGGTTGCTTCCTTCTGTTCTTAACGCTGGGATCTTTCCTGTTCTTTGTCCAGCGATGTTTCTCTCCATTCACAGCACTATTGCTGTTCCTGTCTTCCTGAACACGACTCTTTCCCGCAGCCTTGACGCGACCAGCTTCCTGCTGGCTCTTATTGCGACGACGCTTTTCAAAATTCTTGCCCTGGTGTCTTATTTCTCCTCCTGCTTCAACATCTCTGTCGTCACCAGCAATAACATCACTGATACTGTAGTGGCGTCTTCCATCACCTTTTATCCTGTTGATCCTGTCAAGTTTTCCATCATTGTTGTCAGGGTCAGCGCCTCTGTTCGTCTTATGCAGATCTACAACTGATCTCTCTTGCCCATCATTTAATACATTTTTCTCTCCATGTACTTTTTCCTGTAAAAAAGGAATGGTTTAGAACGAAAGCAAGAAATAAAATTACACAAATATTTATTTGACTAGAATTTTATTAATTCTGTTGAGTTGTACAGGATTTTATTTCTACATTAAAATGATTACCTTTGATAAATAAATTAATTATGTGTCCGTCACTGCTTTATTCGAGAGAGGTATTGGCGGTATCATGCCTTCCGAAGAATTATATCATTAACACCGCTCTACAGCCTACCAAATAAACGCCATAATATTGGTTAAGAAAAGAAAGTGTACATATCTAGGACTTGAGAATCTTATTGTTAGGTAAGAACAATTAAATTCAGCGTGTCAGATCAAAACAGTGGAGTTAGATTGACCACGAGACTTGATGTGGTGCTGGAGTTTGAACTTGGTAATATTTGTGAAGGGGTTTAGGGAGACAGACTTGCTGGGCTTTAGTTTTGGAGTTCTGCAGTATTATTACATTTATTTAAGATACTTTACACTTCATTTCTTGTCTGAATTATACTGAGGAAGAATCTGGCGGGCCAAACGTCTCCTTAATGCTAGTTTAGCAAGTAATTTATTTGTCTTCTGTTCGAGTGTACAGCCTGAGTTGCTGCGAAATTGTAGCTTTGTTTATGGCCTTCAAGGTTTACCAATACAGTAATGAGGAAGTAACTGTGACTAAGTATTTTCTTCTTTGGGTCACCGTGGATGTGAGGGGATATAGCCAATGAATTCGGAAAATAAAACTTACATAAAAGAGAGTAACGAAGAACACTTTGATGTAATCTAAAAGATATCCTTACCTGCAGCAGAAGAAAAAGACAAAAGATGAGAGTAGATAAAATTAAAAACTTCATGCTGGCAGTAGCTCCCTTGAGTGTGTCCGGCGGTGTCTCCTGCAGAGGAGGAGCAGCAGCAGAGACACTCAGAGCTGTGTCCCACAACTTCCACTTCTAGTCCACGACCAAGCTGTCCTGACTCTCAGCGTGGGTACTGTCTTTATAGCAGAGCCGCAGATTCAACTCTGAACCCACCTGCTGTGTTGATCAACATCTGCTACGTTCACTGAACTCGGAAAGACAAATCATTTCACGGCTTGTCTCTATTTCTTCTTTTATTTTTTCTTTATTGTATAGGTACCGTATATATATATATATATATATATATATATATATATATATATATATATATATATATATATATATATATATTATATATATATATATATATGTATGTATATGTATATATGGGGTTGACAGGTCCAACACTTCAACATTGAGCTACGAAGCTCCTGACAGAAAAAAGATGTGTTTGTGTCAGCGGCACTTGGCGTAACCTACTGATTTTTCTCCCCTGAAGCTCAGTAGCTCAGCGGTAAAGAGCTGGCTCTTCCAATCCCAGGACCACGGTTCAAGCCCTTGTTCATCTAACCATACCCCCGGCCGGGATTGAACCCGCGGTCATAGAGTCTCAAAACTCCAGCCCGTCGCGACTCTATGAACGCAGGTTCAATCCCGGCCGGGGGTATGGTTTGTTTGCAATCGTGTCATTACGATTTCTTGAGCCTTGTTCATCTTTCTGTAATCACTTACAGTGGTAAACCATTGTAAGTGAATATACGACTTGAGGTGAGCTCATAGACTATATGGCTTGGAGAGACGTAAGGGACAGATTTACTACATGTGCTCAGCTTCCTAAGAATGATGAGCTTAAACTCTTAGTTCTCGTAAGAGTATTGGTCTGCAGAACCTAAGACTCTTGGGAGTGTTGAGTTGTAGCTCCTCTGTCTCTTGAAGCTTTGGAGGTAAAGCTCTAAGGCCTCTTTCGGAATCATAATTTTTAAATGGGTGAACCGGGATGCCAGTGGAAGACCTCGGTCAGATGACCAAAAGCTCCAGCTGTGGGTCATCATATGAATAAGACCCGCATCAGGAAACACTTATCATGTTTACTGACAAACATTACCTAATCTAACCTCTTTTGGAAGCTGGAATTTGATATATAAGAGACAACTTTCTCAGTCTGCATAGCAATAATTTGTTATCCAGTAAAGAATAATCTTTTGTTAAATCTGTCACAAAATATTAGTCCTGGTTTTTTATAAATAATTTTCGTATTTTTGGAATTTTTGTTTAGTTTCGATGAAAACAGAAAATTAAACAAATCATCACAATACAAAAAATTTCTTTCAGCTCATTTCCTTTTCTGTTTTTTAATAGATAATGATTATATTATCTTACAACTCACGTGAAAATAAGAAAATGATGTTAATTTAAGCTTTTATTTATGTGTACAATGAAATGCTCTAGGAGCCTCATGACACATGCTCCAGGAGCCTCCTGGCACATGCCCCAGGGAGTCTCCTGGCACATGCTCCAGAAAGCCTCCTTCCACGTGCTCCAGCAAGCATCCTGCCACGTGCTCCAGCAAGCCTCCTGGCACTTGCCCCAGCAAGCTTCTTGGCACGTGCTCCAGCAAGCCTCCTTGAACGTGCTCCAGCAAGCCTCCTGGCACGTGCCCCAGCAAGCCTCTTGGCACGTGCTCCAGCAAGCCTCCTGGTACGTTCTCCAGCAAGCCTCCTAGTACGTGCTCCAGCAAACCTCCTGGAACGTACTCCAGCAAGCCTCCTGGAACGTGCTCCAGCAAACCTACTGGAACGTGTTCCAGCATGGAAGAACAACTTCGTGAGTTTTTTAAAGTTCAGTCTGTAGGTTTATGTGATGTGCCAGTGATATTAACTTTATATTAGAGCAAATGTTATCGCTCTGCCCTCGTGGCCTGGGTGACCCCGTGGCCTGGCTGGCAAAGCCCTCGCTTCACATGGGCCCGGGGTAGAAACATTTCGACGTGTTTCCTTACACCTGTCGTCATGTTCACCTAGCAACAAATAGGTACTTTGGCATTAGTCGACTGGTGTGGGTCGCATTCTGGGGGACAAGATTGAGGACCCCAATGGAAGCAAGACAGAAGACAGTCCTCGATGACGCACTGCCTTTCTTGGGTAATCCTGGGTGGCTAACCCTCCGGGGTTAAAAATCCGAACGAAATCTTATACCTCTGAACGTAGTATGGTAGTACACAGCTCTAAGTGATTTTCAGCTTATCACAGAGTGACTGGTTTCGTGTTTTCATTGTTTTTGACAGGACTAAACTTCAGCTCCTGGGCTCTTTGAGAGTTTTAACGTACACATGACTGGCTGTCGGGAGAGTCGAACTGAAGCTCCTGGGCCATCTTGAGGGTATTGAACCCAAGCTTGTAGATTTCCTGAACGGAATTTAGCTGAGTTATAGCTCCTAACAGAGCTATAGGCCTAACAGAGGTACCTCTATTAGGGACAGAATAATAAGCCCACCTGAAGACTTACTGTAACAATAAATGAATAATTTGTTTTCCATTGTTGTGGCTACAACATAATCCAGAGGTTGTATGTAATGCTTGATGAGTAAAAGACAGGGCCCAGGAGCTAGAGGGTAAAACTCACAAACACAAATGAGTATACATACGTCAAGGAATAAAATAATTAAATAAATAAATTATTGAAATATCTATAATTATTTTTTATTGATGCTCAGTGCAACACTCGAATGGTCAAGACAGGACCAAAATAATGTGTATGACACTCATATACACACGAAAATTTATATATAAGAGTATAAATATTTGATTAAAATCTTGAAAATTAGCTAAATAAACAGATAACTGATAAGGAAAGTAACATAATTTATAATTCCAATTATTGACATAATTCCTGGAGATAAATTGTTTACCTGTAATAATTCAACGTCACAATGTAATAATTCAACGTCGCAATGTAATAATTCAACGTCACAATGTAATAATTCAGTATCACAATGTAATAATTCAACGTCACAATGTAATAATTCAACGTCACAATGTAATAATTCAACGTCACAATGTAATAATTCAACGTCACAATGTAATAATTCAACGTCACAATGTAATAATTCAGTGTCACAATGTAATAATTCAACGTCACAATGTAATAATTCAACGTCACAATGTAATAATTCAACGTCACAATGTAATAATTCAACGTCACAATGTAATAATTCAACGTCACATTAATAATTTCACGTCACAATGTAATAATTCAATGTCACAATGTAATAATTCAATGTCACAATGTAATAATTTCAATGTCACAATGTAATAATTCAACGTCACAATGTAATAATTCAACGTCACAATGTAATAATTCAACGTCACAATGTAATAATTCAATTTCACAATGTAATAATTCAACGTCACAATATAATAATAATTCAACGTCACAATGTAATAATTCAATGTTACAATGTAATAATTCAATGTTACAATGGGTAAACTAAGGTTATATTGAATATATAATTTTATGTTTATAGATTAATTGTTAACATGACTCACGAAATCGTAATGACACGATTGCAAACAAACCATACCACCGGCGGGATTGAACCCGCGGTCAGAGAGTCTCAAAACTCCAGACCGTCTCGTTAACCACTGGATCAGCTAGCCACAATATGATTCATCCAACTAGGTATATTTCTACACCATAGGAAGGTGTAGAAATATACCTAGTTGGATGAATCTTATTGTGGCTAGCTGGTCCAGTGGCTAACGCGACAGTCTGGAGTTTTGAGACTCTCTGACCGCGGGTTCCATCCCGCCGGTGGTATGGTTTAATTGTTAACATTTATGTTTAACAAAGATACAAAAATTGATGTTATTGTTTTGTATTTATGTTAAAAATCTTCCTTAAATTGTGTTATTATCATACTTTCTGAGAACTTAAAGTTAATCACCATTGTTGATGTTAGCTGTTATTGTTAGTTGTTATTGTGTTATTGTTGGTTGTTATTATTGTGTTATTGTTGGTTGTTATTACTGTGTTATTGTTGGTTGTTATTATTGTGTTATTGTTGGTTTTATTATTATGTTATTGTTGGTTTTTTTATTTTTGTGTTATTGTTGGGTTTTTATTATTATTTATTGTTGGTTTTTGCTATTGTGTTATTGTTGGTTTTATTACTATGTTATTGTTGGTTGTTATTATTGTGTTATTGTTGGTTGTTATTATTATGTTATGTTGGTTGTTTGCTATTTTTTTATTGTTGGTTGTTATTTTTTGTGTTATTGTTTGGTTGTTATTATTGTGTTATTGTTGGTTGTTATTATTGTGGGTTATTTTTGGTTGTTATTATTGTGTTATTGTTGGTTGTTATTATTGTGTTATTGTTGGTTGTTATTATTGTGTTATTGTTGGTTGTTATTATTGTGTTATTGTTGGTTGTTGCTATTGTGTTATTGTTGGTTGTTATTATTGTGTTATTGTTGGTTTTTTAAAATTTTTTTTTTATTTTTTTTTTTTTTTTTTTTTTTTTTTTTACTGTGTTATTTTTGGTTTTTATTATTGTGTTATTGTTGGTTGTTTTTTTATGTTATTGTTTGGGTTTTGCTTTTTTGTTATTGTTGGTTGTTATTTTGTGTTATTGTTGGTTGTTTTTTTGTGTTATTGTTTGGTTTTTTGCTATTGTGTTATTGTTGGTTGTTTTTTTTGTGTTATTTTTGGTTGTTATTATTTTGTTATTGTTGGTTGTTGTATTTTGTTTTGTTGGGTTTTTTATTATTTTTTTATTGTTGGTTGTTTTCTGTGTTATTGTTTTTTGTTTTATTGTGTTATTTTTGGTTGTTATTATTAGTTTTGTTGGTTGTTTTTGTGTTATTGTTTTTTGTTTTTTATTTGTTTATTGTTGGTTGTTTTATTGTGTTATTGTTGGTTGTTATTACTGTGTTATTTTGGTTATTATTGGTTTTTGTTGGTTGTTATTATTGTGTTATTGTTGGTTGTTAATTGTGATTGATAATTTTTTGTTATGTGTTTTTGTTGGTTGTTTTTACGTGTTATTTTGGTTTTTATTGTGTTATTGTTGGTTGTTATTTTGTGTTTTTGTTGTT